AAAGTAAAGGGATGTATGGGGCTGGCCCGGTGGCACAGCAGTTAAGTGTACACGTTCCAACTGGCGGCCCAGGGTTTGCCGGTTCGGATCCCAGGTATGGACATGGCACCGCTTGCCAAGCCATGCTGTGGTAGGCATCCCACATATAAAGTAGAGAAAGATGGGCATGGATGTTAGCTCAGGGCCAGTCTTTCTCAGCAGAAAGAGGAGGATTGGCAGCAGTTAGCTCAGGGCTAATCTTCCTAAAAAAAAAAAAATTAAAAAAAAAAGTAAAGGGGTGTAGAAAGATATACCATGCTAACACATCAAAAGAAAGCTGGAATAACTATATTAATTTCAGACAAAAAGGCTTCATTGAATATCATTGGACATATACTTTTTTTTTCTTGTTTAGAAGACAGATGATCTTTTTTTTTTTTAAAGATTTTATTTTTCCCTTTTTTTCCCCACAGCCCTCCGGTACATAGTTGCATATTTTCAGTTGTGGGTCCTTCTAGTTGTGGCATGTGGGACGCCGCCTCAGCATGGCTTGATGAGCGGTGCCATGTCCACACCCAGGATCCAAACTGGCGAAACCCTGGGCCGTCAAAGTGGAGCGTGCGAACCTAACCACTTGGCCACTGGGCCAGCCCCGAGATGATCTTTTTTCCTCTAAACTTTTGTGTTTTGTCTTGTTTTCCTCTTTTATTGTGGTATAAAATGCATACAGTAATGTGAGTAAAATGTATTAAAGAGTATAGCTTGATGAATTTTTACATACATACATACCTTTTTCACATTGTTTTAACAGCGTTATCAAATAATTTAGCAGTTATCATGTGCTTAAGCACTGTTCTAAGCATTTTACATGTATTAATTCCTTTACTCCTCATAATAAACCTATAAGTTAGATACTATTATCGCCGCATTTTAGAGATGAGGAAACCATGCACAGATAGATTGAGCATTTGGCCAGGGTCATGTGGTTAAGTAGCTCAGAGCCAGAATTAAGACTCATGCAGTCAGGCTCCAGTGTCTGGGCTCTTACTTCAATACTCTAACTACATATAAAGATAATCAGGGAAGGGGCTTTAGCCCAGTGTCTGACGTACAATATTAAGTGCTCAATATTATCATCATCATGTCTACTGCTATTATTACTATTTCATTGAATCTGAGGAGCCATCAATTATAACATACATTATTATTATTTTTTTCATTTTGAACTTAGGAAACTCTTTTTTAAAGATTTTATTTTTCCTTTTTACCCCCACAAAGCCCCCCGGTGCATAGTTGTATATTTTTAGTTGTGGGTCCTTCTAGTTGTGGCATGTGGGATGCCGCCTCAGCATGGCCTGATGAGCAGTGCCATGTCCGCGCCCAGGATCCGAACTGGCGAAACCCTGGGCTACTGAAGCAGAGCACGCGAACTTAACCACTCAGCCACGGGGCCGGCCCCTACATCATTATTTTAGATGCTACTGACAAAGAAAGAAAACACTGTCAGTCATAATAATCGAAGACTGTATTGAGTGTTGTAAAACGTATTCCAATTTCAAAGATGTGAAGATGTGAAAAAAATGTACATTGTAGAATGAGTGAAATTCAGTATTATTGTATATAGAATTTTGTAGTTAGTGTTGGCCAATGACTTTAAATACTTCTATGTCCTGAGGGCCCCAAAATTTATATTTTCAGTCCTGACCACTCCTTTGAACTGTGAAACCTGCATATACAATTGACTATTTAATGTCTCCAGGTAGCGGTTCCCAGACCCCTCAAAAATCACACGCCTAAAACCGAGTTCTTGATAGTCTTTACCATCTCGGTATACGACAACTCTATTCTTCCAATTACTCAGGCCAAAAACCTTGGTTGGCGTCAACAAATTCTGATGTTTCTACCTTCAATATAAATCCAGAATTCAGCCACTTCTCACCAACCGCACTGCCAATACACTACTCCACAGCACCGTGGGGCAGAGATTGCTAGCTGCTCACCTAATTCATGCTTTCCTCTTCTCCCTGGGCACATATTTCCCAGCCTCCTTTGCAGTTAGGTGTGGCCATTATGATGAAATTATAAGTGATGGAATGTGAGAACAAATTTCATGTGGCACTTTCAGGCTGCCCATGTAAACTTTCCAAGCATACTATAGATACTTTTCTCCCCTTGTAGCTTGCTAGAACGGAGATGGCTCTGTACCTTACCCCGAAGGGTGACCTTGGCAGCCATGTGTTGGATAAAAAGCCCCTGTCCGCCTGGGTTTCTGAATGACTCCAAGGAGGAGGGCTATCCCAATGAGCTAGTCACTCACTCGGTACTGAAAGATGAGCAATAAAGAAATTTCTGTTGTGTTTGAGCCAGTAAGCAATGAGGAACTAATATTGGAGGATAGAAAGATGGAGAGTCTTGTTAAACAGCAGTAAAATGCTTGATTAAGATGTTAACTGTAATATAAGGAAGTCAGGCCAAATGCCTCCTGAACCTATGGCTTTAGGGGAGGACGGAAAGCAATGTTTCGAAGTGTGTAGTGATGGTTACTTGCTGTGTTTACCAAGGTATTACAAGAAAGAGATAAGCTTAGGCAAGAATTGACTGATCCAAGGGCAGAAATGAAAAGAAATAAGAATTGGGGGAATAAAGGGTTAGAAAAGCTGACTGCTTCTGTATCCCAAATAACAAGAGAGAAGACTGAAAAGGGCTTTTTGTAAAAAAGTGTAGGAGAAGGGCTGTGTCCAGACGTGCTGGCGACCTCGTACATGTCCACGTAGGCCACGGAAGCAAAGCTTGTCTGCACTCTGACCTGACTCTTAGCAGAACGCTGTGATTCCTCCTGGAACAAAGGGAGATAAGGACAGGGAGTTGCTGCAAGAAAGTTTCTTGTCCCTATCTTGTGGGAGACTGCCACAAGGCTATTTCTCATCCAGCTCCCTGGTCTGGGGGAGGGCAACCCCTTCCACCTTCCCCACTTTCCTGTTAGGGTACAGAGGCCAGCTTCCGTGGCTGTCTGTACAACTGCCTGGCTTTAGTTTAGAACTGGCTTCTCCACAGCAAAGTGACATACCGTTCTGGTGGTCTGTCATTTGGCTCCTCATGTTTGGTGTCACCCTGTGGGACCAGGGACATAGGGAGCGGACACTATCTTGATCTTCCTTATGTTGTCTCTGAATTTACCATCTAAATCCATTTGGCCGCATTATCTCCCATCAGCCTAACAGCTGCAATAGTGTCAGCCCCCGAGCTGCCGCTTAGGGACTCTCAACCACTTGACACAGACGCATGAAGACTCCTCAGTTAAACAAGGGACTCAGCTCGGAAGCAAAAGTCAGATTAGAGTGGTTGTGTCCCTCTCATGCAAGCCTGTTGTTTGAGATGGCATCAAGGTAGCCGTGATTAATTTGCAAAGAGAGAAGCATGGGAACGAGGAGGCAAATACATAAAGCAGACTTTACAATTACGTCTAGGAAAGAACTTTGGATGTGGTTACAGCACATGGAACTGCCTAGAAGCAAATAGATCAGAAGACTACTAAGGTTTTTGAGGAAACTGAATTACCAAAGAAACCAGGAGCCTGGCCTAAAAAAGATGCGAGGTGTAAAGCAACGCTGGGGCAGGAAGTGATCTGGGAAGGCTGACACAGCTGCGATCCCCATCATTACCTCTCTGACCTCGTTCCCTCCTTGCCCCCGTGACTCCGTCTGTACCAACCAGCCTCCTTACCGTTCCTGGAACACCATAAGCACATTTCTATCTCACATCCTTGGCCTTTGCTGTTTCCTCTGCCTGAAAAAACCTTTTCTTCAGATATTCACATGGCAAACCCACCATGGATCCCAGCCCCAGGTATTCTTAGGGGTAATTGAAATAAACAGTCTAGCTCTCCTCTGGCAGCTGCCACTCCCACAGGCACCAGGTCCACTGTTGATGGCATAAAACAAAAGCTAGGTATAACCTGATTGCCCTGGCACTTGGTCATGCAAGGCCCTCAGAGCCCCACAAAATGCACCTAATTATTTCCAGGAGTTGCTAGGGGTTGTCACATGTGCTCAGCAACAAGTGCACTCCAACAGTCTGTAGGACTCTGCTCTCAGCTGGAGACCACAGACACTGCTGCCACTCGAAGGCTCCCTGAGGGTGTTGGTATCTCCCGCTGGATTATAGTAGTTCTGCCCTGGTGGCCCCCTGGACAGGACCAGGCAGGAGGTGCCTGGTGCTTCATGGGGTGTTTGGTGTGAACAGCTCTCTCCCCACGGTGTTATACCACCAGGGTGTCCTACAATTCAACTCAGTTCTGACACTGTCCACCCAGAGATAGCGTTAGATCCCAGAGGTTAAGGGCTCAGTCCCGCAGGCCTGCCCCCACCCCCACTTCAGCCACCAGTCACAAGCCCAGGCTGTTACCTATGCTTCTAACCAACCGGCTACAGATTGGAGGTTCCAACGACGCCCTCCCTGGCAACTCAATTCAGACGCCAGTCACAAGGCCAGGTTGTTACCTGTACTTCTGAATGGCTGGCTAGGTTCCAACTTCTCCCTCCTTGGGTCCAACGAATTTGCTAGAGCTGTTCACAGAACTCGAGAAATATTTTACTCACTAGATCACCGCTCTGTTACAAAAGGATATGACTCAGGAACAGCCAGATGGAAGAGATGCACAGGGCAAGGTGTGGGGACAGGGCGAGGAGCTGCCACGTCCTCTCAGGGCACACCACTCTCCCTGCATCTCCAGGAGTTCACTGACCAGGAAGCTCTCCCAACCCCGTCCTTTTGGGTTTTTATGGGGGCTTCATTACATAAGCATGATTGATTAAATCATTGACCGTTGGTAATTGATTAACCTCCAGCCCCTCTCTCGTCCCCGGAGGTCAGGAGATGGGACTGAGAATTCCAGCCCTCGAATCACGGGTTTGGTTCCCCTGGCAACCAGCCCCTATCCTTAGGTTAGTTCCAAAAGTCACCTTATTAACATACACCTTTGTGGCTCTCATCACTTAGGAAATTCCAAGGGTTTTAGGAGCTCTGTGTCAGAAATGGGGAGAAAGATTAAATATATATTTCTTATTATATATCACAATACATAAACTGCAATCCACCCCCTGGTCTTTCAAACACACATCTCCAATAGCAAAACAATCACGAGTCCAAAGATACTGGCACGTTACTGGACTCTCATTCAGTCATTAATAACTCTCCAGTCCAGCACCCTGTCCTCTGAGTGTCTCCCAGGCCGAGGTCACTCAGGTTTGCAGGCTTCCACTCCATCTTGCCAGGTTCCATAGCAGGAGTGGTCTCAGCAGTACATAGCTTCCCCCTTCAGGCGTCTGGCATCATCGAGCTAAGAGATAGTATGTCTCTGGCCCTGAGCCCCTTTTGAGATGTTAACGTAACATGGGTTTTCCCTCATTACACACCCACTTATTCACTCCCTTACCCTCCGTTACTGTTTGTCTCTCTCTCCATTTATACCCAAACTTTCCCACCTTCAGCAGGGACATTCGGTTCGGCCACCATGCTGGGCTGGACTGCAGGCAGCCACGCTAGTCTAGCACGTCCCTCTCCCTCAGTCCACTGCCTGTCGGAGAAGCGAAGGTGCCACAGGCGCAGAACCAGCGGGCTGTCCCCCGCCCCGGGCAGCACGGCTGCCTGCGCCGTCAGCCGCAGTGTTGCCGGATGGGGGAGGCACGTCCTGCCCCATCAGGCCCTTAGGAATTCTGTCTGACAGAGGGGTTAAAAACATAGTTACCATTTCTTGCTTAGGAATCACTTCTGCTCCCAGCCCTTGGAGTTGCAGCCCTGGTCCTGTGACCACTGCATCAAGCAGGGGGGAAAAAGTTGAGGTGATGTGGGGCGGAACAACACCAGCACGGCCCCACCCCGTCTTCTCCAGATCCACCAGGAAAAGAGAGAAATCCATCCCGTGGGGACTCTCCTTCAGCCCCACTCATGTTCATGTTGAGTGTGAGCGCACACTCGTGAAGGCGTGTAAGCCAGCCCTTCTTGCTTTTATCTCCCCGTTTTAGACAGCCCACGTTTTCTGTGCCTGTTCCCATTCTCTACGGAACTAGTCCCCTGAGGGAGCTCTCTGGCCATTGTTGGACATTACGGGCTGCAGAGTGAGTCCCATGGTCTGGAGAAATGACGGTCAGTTGTCCAAACGGGCGCAGTATCTTCTGTTCCGGTTCCTTCACAATCCTCTGAGCATTTGCACCTACGCCAGGCAAGCAAAGCCCAGTCTAGAGTCGGTGTCGACTCCTGTGAGGACTCGCTCGTAGACCCAGGGCTGCCAGCATCAGTCTCACTCGCCAGCTAAGCTCAGGGCTTCCCACCAGGGACTCTGCCGCATGGCCATCTGCAGTCTCTGCCTCTCTCGCTGGCAGACAGAACAGTGCTTATTGGCCTTTTGGGCCTCAGAGGGTGCAAGAGGACTGTTTCTAGAATCAGCCCGTTGCTGCGGTGTCCTCATGTCCGCTCATCTCACGGACTCAGGTGACCGTCTCAAGCAGGTACACAAGGACATCTGCTTGTTTGTTCCAGTCACCTTCCAGACCTGGATGGGAGTTCTTCTGATGGGCGTTGGCATGTCCTACTCTAATGCACCCTCAAATTCCCATGGGGCTGTGCCCCATACAGGCATCCCTTTAATAGGCCAGGTTTCCATTGCCCTCCTGCCTGACCATATGGCCAGGCCATTGGCCACTGCCGTGAGTCAGTAAAAACCCAAACATAGGCGCTTTTACCAGTGCTCGATTCTTCCATCACTGCAGGAAAACAGCATGCAGTTCCGCCCACCGAGCTGATTTGTTTTTACCTCCTTCCATCAGAGTGGCAGCCTTCCAAACAGGATGTCCATCCACGTGGAACTGGCGTCCACAAAACAAGCAGCTCTTTGTCGATCAGCCGAGAGCTGTTTACAGGGCCCTGTCCAGGTGACGATAGCATCCTGCAGCTCCTCGCTCAGTTCCCAAGTCGGTCCTCGGGGAGAGGCTCCCTGCCCGTGAGTATCTCCCCTTGCCTTCCCCAGGCAGCGTGATCCTGGAGAAACCATTTCCATTTTACTTTGGAACTCCTCTGGGCACTGCCAGCCCCATTAGAGCGCTTCTCCGACATCACCCAAGACACTGTGGGCATTTCAGGCTTCAGGATCATTGTGTGTCCTTCGGTCATCGGGGTAGCTTCCATTAACGTCCAACAGCAAGGTAGGACTTACCGCTCAAATGGAAATTCTCTGTTCAAAGGACCAGTCATGGTCGCTGGGAGGCGCTCACAGGCTCTTGCCATAAGCCCCAGTCTAGCTCCGCGTAGGGCCATTGCACAGAGAATTTGTCCCTACCTGCCCTCCAGCTTCTATTCCACAGCGTGGCTCAGGCATCTTACTGGTTCCCACTCAGCACGCTGATGAGTATCGCTTGAAGGGCGGACTTACGCGCCTTCTGTCTTACGATGTTAGGCGGGGGAAACATCCCCCAGTCAGATACAGTGTCCATGCCCCTATCACAATTGGGTAAAAGAGACGCAACCACTCACGTAAAGCCTGTTCCAACATGCAATTCTCCTGCAAACTTTTACTGTAATTCCCTCAGCTCTTGTGCTCCTGATGTGGCCTCCTTTAGGACTTCATCCACAGGTTTCGGTTTGACAATACCAGGTAGGGGAGGTGTTCCCCAGCCAGACAGAATATCCATTCCCGTGAAACAGTTAGGTAAAGTTGACACAATTTCTTTACAGAATTCCTGCTTAGACATTCCAACGTTCACAATCCTATGGCCCATGACATTTTTATATTCTCTCCATCTAATTGCAGGAGGAGTCAGGGCTTCACCAGTGGGTTTTGGGACCACAGTTCAGGAGACTCCTGTATCAGTGAGTCCTAGAAACTGCTCATCTCCACTCCTTGACCATTTTAACCACTCTTGTGCAAAAAGCTTTGGATTCCTAGGGAGGGCTCAAGCCAAGGGACCCTGGCCCTTTTGTCAATCTTTATCTTGATTAATAGACCTGACCACCGCTGCCCCGAGCGATTGTGGGTCAGGTCTCTCATAGCTCTCTCTCCCTTCCGGCTTTTTCAATTTCCCCAGACTGGGGTAAATAGAGCGGCCTTTTTTTGAGGCCCTTTGATATTGGGGGACCAACAGGGGGCCCCTTTGGCCAGCCTAATCTTAGGTAGTGCTATATATTTTTTTCTTCTCCCCAAAGCCCCCCAGTACAGTTATATATTCCAGTTGCGAGTGCCTCTGGTTGTGCTACGTGGGACGCCGCCTAGGCATGGCCTGATGAGCAGTGCCATTGTCCGCGCCCAGGATCCAAACCAGCGAAATCCTGGGTCGCCCAAGCAGAGCGCTCGAACTTAACCACTCGGCCACGGGGCGGCCCCTCGTCCCATTTCTTGATAACAATCTGAAGATTCCCACCCTGCTGGGAGGAGTCCTGTGACTCGCCCCTTTCTGTTTCCTCTTTGTTTCACTCCTAGCAATATTCACTTTATCTTATTTCTCAGCAACATTTTAAAAATTTCCACCTAGTTGGCAAGAGTCCCTGCACTCTCTCTCCCCTAGGCCCCTTCCCATTCTCTTGTTAATTAACCTAATGTTTCTATTAGCATCTATAAGACCCTCAGGAAGCCGCAATAGCAAATTCATAAGGCCCCCGAACTGTTTTTTGGTTTTGTAATAAGATTATATGAAGTGCCCATGTGAAGGGGACGCCTTAACCACAGCATTTACCACCACCTGGGAAATGGGCATATTCAGCGGGTGAATATCCTGGTCATCACAAGGCCAGTCCCCCAGGGCTCGCATACGAAGCCTACCAGCTGCTTCACCTGGGGGGTTCCACCTGGCATTCATGGGGGGATGGACAGTCCCCCTCCTCAGGGTAAACAGACCTTACAGTGGCTTTTATCCAGTCCACCAGGCTGCCTATTTGCTCACAAGTACCCTCCCGTGTCTGGATCACCTACAGCCATCTGGGATCGTTCCCTAGTGAGCTGTGGGTCCTGCGTCAACCCAAACAGGCTCTTCCGCTCCGCAGCACTGGAACCCAAAGACACAGCCCCCAAGTTAGTCCCTCCGTAATCCATTTGAGTAAAGGTTCCTCGGGAAGCCGCTGAAACAGCTCCTTCACGCTACACCCTCTGGTTCAACAGTTTCTTGGGTTCGCCCTTCCCCCGTGTTGACTTTTCCCTTGGCGGGCGGCTTTGACGCTCGCCGCCAAAGCTCAGACTCACTGAAATCTAGCTTGGTCTAGCATCAAGGTCTGACCTAGCGTTCTCTCTGACTTTTAGTTGAGCCGTCACAGGTAATAATAGCCAAGGGGTTGAATATTTTGCCTTTTTCTTATTAGCCTGCATTTCCTTGTGCAGCCAGTGAACCAACTCCCCGGGAGCTGGATCCACCTGAGTAACGGATTGCAGCGCTGCTGCAGCTGCAGACCACGGTGACCACGTGGACACCAGGAATCAAAGGTCCCTCATCCCCCGCCCTTTCATCCTTTCTCTTCCCAAACCACGTGTTTCTGTGAGCCACGCCGTTCTAGCAAATCCCACTTCACTGACACCAACTATTTGGGGTTCCTGGACCCAATTTCCAATGCGTGTGTGTCGGGGGCGGGGGCCGGGGGGCCTCCCACACAACACCAAGGAATTCTCCGGCTCCCTGCTTGTGTTCTGACACTACCCACCCAGAGATAGCATCAGATTCCACAGGTTAAGGGTTCAGTCCTACAAGACTGCCCTTAGCCTCACTCCACTTCAGATGCCAGTCACAAGCCCAGGCTTGTTACCCATGCTTCTGACTGACCAGCTATAGATTGGAAGTTCCAAGGACCCCCTCCCTCGAAACTCAATTCAGACACCAGTCAGAAGGCCAGGTTGTTACCTGTATTTTTCTGACTGACTGGCTAAGTTCCAGTGACCCCATCCTTAGGCTCAACTAATTTGCTAGAGCGGCTCACAGAACTCAGAGAAACATTTTACTTACTAGATCATCGGTTTATTATAAAAGGACATAACTCAGGAACAGCCAGATGGAAGAGATGCACAGGGCAATGTGTGGGGAAAGGGCGGAGAGCTTCCATGCCCTCTCCAGGAGCGCCACTCTCCCTGAATCTCCACGTGTTCACCAACCTGGAAGCTCCTCAAACCCGATCCTTTCGGGTTTTTATGGGGGCTTCATTACATAGGCATGATTGATTAAATCATTGGCCATTGGTGATTGATTCACTCTCCAGCCCCCTCCCTCCCCGGATGTCAGAGGGTGGGACTGAAAGTTCCAGCCCTCTAATCATTGGTTGGTTCCCCTGGCAACCAGCCCCCATCCTTAGGTGCAGTCCAAAAGCCATCTCATTAACATAACAAAAGACGCCTTTGTGGCTCTCATCACTTAGGGAACACCAAAGCTTTTAGGATGGGGACTGAGACCTCATTTACATTTCTTATTATAAATCACAAATATATTTCTTATTATAAATCACAATACCACAGCTTGCAAATAGGAACTACATTTTGGAGGACTTTTCTTTTCTTTTTGGTGAGGAAGATTGTTGCTGAGCTAACATCTGGCCAATCTTCCCCTATTTTGTATGTGGGATGCCACCACAGCATGGCTTGATGAGCAGTGTATAGGTCTGCATCAATATTCAAACCTTTGAACCCATGGCTCCTGAAGTGGAGTGCAGGAACTTAACCAGTACACCACCAGGCTGGCCCGGAGGACACATTTTTAACATCTAATGCAAGTTTTAAAATATGTACTCTCTCTGACCCAGCATTTCTACTACTCTCTATCTACTCTAGAGAACTACTCCTAAACAGATACAAAGACACAGGGACATGAATATTAATCACAGAATTGTGTTAATAGTGAACATAGGACAACAGCAAAATAAACAATGGCATATGCACACTAGGAAATATTATGCAGCAGTCAAAAAGAATGAGGTGCCTCTATGTGTCATGATATGGAATGACATCAAGACAAATCGTTTAGTGAATACAGCAAATTGCAAAAAAGATATGTACACTGTGAAATAAAAACAAAACTCTCCAAAATAACACCATAAATGTTTGACTAAGCATATATATGTAGAAAAGCCCATGTAAATGATAACTGATAACAGCGGTTACGTCTGGGGAGAAAGGAAGAGAAGGGAATCAGGAGTGGGAATGGTGATTGAGAAGACTTTAGCCTTATGCTTAATAACTGTCTTTTGAGGATAGTGAATGCTTGTGTAATTGGAAATTAATTTTTTATAAAGAGCATTTGGCATTTAGCAAACACTATCATGCTCGCCCCCCCTCCGCTCTCCCTTATCACGTTAGTGCACACTGGCCCAAATTCCAATTGCTAGTTCTTGCATTACCTCGCCCGAGGGCTTTCTCTTGCCACTGGAGCCAGCTCTGCTGCCGGAGTCGGCTTTGCCACCCATGTGGCAGCCCAGAAATGCTGGGCAACGAACCCCTCTGGGAGCAGCCCTGGATCAGTGACTGATGGGTGCTGGTGTATCTCTCAGTCAGTGATCAGTCGAGAGGCAGAAGCCATATTAATATTAGTTCTTTGAACAGACAGGATTTAACATAGAAAATGTTAACTAGGCATAAAGTTGTTAAGTAGGTAACAAATAATGAAAAGAGAACTCTAAGATATCATAAAGAGAGCGATCGCGGGAAGCCACTCCCACCCCCAGGGCTGAGGCACAAAGGAAAGAGAATGGAATTATTACAACCAGAAGCTTGGAGGAAGGGCTCCATGGGGCTGGGGCCCAGACCTCTGGGGAGGGGGTGCTGCTCACCTCATGCTGGTGTTTCTGATGGGAGTGTGATGAGGCTGGTTCTGTGAAGGTTGGAAAACTGCAAACCGGATTCAGCTGTAGACACGGACAGGTGCTGCTGGTGCGAGGGTGAAGAAATACTCCTGGGGGGATGCTGACAGAAGCAGGAAGCTGACAAGAAGGAACAAGGAAGAACAGAAAGGAGTTGAAGTTCCTTCCCCCTCCTCCAGCCTTGGAGTCTCCCTCTATCGCCCCCTAGGCGGAGTCTAACAGGGAGCCGCTGGCGAAGCCGAACCGTGCGTGGTGGAATCTCATTCCCGGAGTGAAAGGTAGAGTACAGAAGGGTGAGTGTGCAGTTTAATAACTTAACAGCTTAATAACATGCACAAAGATAAAGGGAACAGTCTCATGAGTCCCGGTTTATCTGTCACTCATCTTCAACAGTTACTACTACTTTGGCTTTCTTGCTTCACTTATTCCCCTCCACATTCTCCCCCTGGAGTATTTTAAAGCTAATGACATGATTTCACCCATAAATACTTAAGTATCTACCAGGATAGGGACTTTAAGAGCACAATACCATTATCACACCTAATAAAATTAACACTAATTCCTTAATATCATCTAATACCCAGTCTGTGTTCAAATTTTCCTGATTGTCTCAAAAAGGGCTTTTCACAATTGGTTTGTTAGAATCAAGGCCCAAACAACGTCCGTGTATCGTTTTGGTTAATATGTCTCTTAAGTCCCTTTTGATCCATAACCCTTCCTTCTCCCTTCCCTTTCTCTTTGGTATCATTAATTCACCAAAGAAACTATGTCATTTGTCCTATAGAATGTCCCATATTCTAAATTTGTCTGATTGTATCCTGTTGGTATCATTTAACGTGCTCCTCTGTCCCCTTTATTTTCTGTAAGCTGGTAGTTACATCTGGAGCCCTGGTCAGATTCAGATTCAATTTTTTTGCAAGGATATTTTATAGAATGCTGTGTATTTCTTATTACTCCTCACTGGAAGACACAATGAGAACTTTTTTAAATTGAGGTAAAATTAGTAAATTGAGGTATACTTTACCTACAATAAAATGCACAAAAATTAAGTGAACAGCTTGATGAATATTTACATATTATGCATCCATGTGACCACCACTTAGATCAAAATATTAAAGCATTTCCATAACCCCGACCATTCCTTCATGAAATGGTGATTCTCCAATCCTGTCATTCTTTCAGAGCTTGAATTCTTTTATAATGAGCTTTCCCATCAATTCTGGATCCTCTGAAATACGCTCAGGCAGGATAAATGTTTCATTTTTTTCCTTTCTTTGCCAATTTTATGATTAATAAATTGGTGTCCTAGCTGCCTCCAAAAAGTGACCAGGGAGGTTTTATTTATTTTTTAGTATCATTATAAACTCATGGAGTTTTAAAATATTTGATGTATAAATATATATATCACTTTGCAGTGATTATGTTTTTTGATGCTCATACTGTCCTATCTTGGGGCCATTGGGAACCCCTTAAAAAGTTGCTTCCTTAGTCTTTTAATACGACTCTTGTAGTCTGTAATTTCTAGTAAGACAGGATATTCCAGGTTCATCTTTTACATTTCCAGCATTAGAACTGAAATTAGCCATTTCCCTAAGGAGTTCTGCATGTTTGTTTTAAATTATATTTAGTCACCACAATCTGGGTGCTGGGTATTTATTGCTATTATGTGTCTTTTCAGTGCACAGAGCTCGGAAAGACATTTTTTTAGAAAAAGAAAAATAAATTATGAATTAATACTGCTATTTCCAATCCAAATAAAAAATTCAAGGATTTTTACTTAATTTCTTTGATTTTGTGCTTGTATCTCTTTTCTCTCATGTATAGAATCTTGGTTCTTAGTGATATTGACATAATGACTTATTTGCTTTATTCTACCACATAGCTAGAACAGTGTCAGGGTAACAGTACCAATGTTGTTGCTAACAATTAGACCACTGAATGCCATTTAAGATTTATGTGCAGTTCTTTTTGTCCTTAAGATCCAGCCCACTAGAGATGTACAGTAAAAATACTGTGTTTGCAAGTCACTTGAAATAATTATTCTCTGTGTAGTTTTGCCACTGACTTGATATATATTAGGTTCGCTTGTTTCAGTTCGTCTTCAATTTTTCAGGACTACTTTTTTTTCTTTCCGATTATATTCAGTTTTTAAATTATTTAAAACAATTTTATGGTTCCAATGTGTATTAGTGATTTATTGCTGCATAATAAATTAAACCAAACTTCGCAGCTTAAAATAACAAATATTTACTATCCCACGGTTTCTGAGGGTCAGAAATCTGGAATAGCCTAGCTGGCTGGTTCTAGCTCAGAATCTCTCATGAAAGACAGCCAAGATGTCAGCCAGGGCTGCCGTCATCTTGAGGTTTAACTGGGGCTGTACGAACTGCTTCCAAGATGGTTCGCCCGCGTGGCGGTTGGCAGACCTTAGATCCTCACTACATGGGACTGCTCAACGGGGCAACTGGCTTCCCCTAGAACGAGTGATTCAAAAGAAAGAAAGAGCGAAACGTAAGGCACGTGGTCTTTCAGAGCCTAATCTTAGAAGTTAGCATCACTTCTACCAAATTCTATTGGTCACAGAGACCAACTCAGAGGGCACTTGCAAGGATGTAAATACCAGGGGGTGGGGATCCTTGGGGCCATCTTTTACACAAAGCAAAAAGATAAAGCAAGGTATATTCAGAGAGGTCTAACTTTCATCTTTGTGCTTTCCGCATTCCCTCCCTCCCCATCTAGGAAACCACTTTTATTAGTTTTGTTTTATCTTTCCATTGTTTTGTTTTGAAAAATATCAGAAAATATGTGCCTATGTTTATATTCACAAAATATATTCCCTACTGTACAACTTTTCTGCACCTTGCTTTTTCCAGTTAATACATATCCTACAGATCACCTAACAGCAACACACAGAGATTTTCCTTACTCCATTTTACAATTTCCTTAAACTCCATTATATAGATATACTGTCATTTAAGTAACATTTTAATGACTTTGTCATTTATTAATTCTTCTCCAATTTTTGGACATCTAAGTTGCTTGTAATTTTCATCATTATAAATAATGCTGCAATGAATATCTTTGTGTATACAGGTTTTTCTGGATGTAGGACTGTTATCTTAGACTACTAGACTTCATTAAGTCAAAGGTATGAATAATTTTTATGCCCTGTTTATGTATTGCTAAATTGGCTCACAAAAGAGCTATCCTGCATTACATTTCCACCTACTATGTATAGATGCTCATTTTCTCTGTATTCTTGTCTGAATTGAGTGGTCTAATTCTTTTTAACCTATACTATTTTGACAGCTATGCCTAAGTATAGTCTTGTAATGGCCATGTATTTTCACATCATGCTTTAGCACTAACTTAATTTATTTTATTACTCTGTATTTCAAAGATAACTCTTACTAATTTAGAAACTGTATTAAATATTATTTTTGATTATTTGAATTTATTTTTCTATATCTTTAACCTTAAGTGCATGTGGACTTAGAGAATATTTTTCTGAGCTAGTAAATATTTAGTACTTACATGCAAGACTATAATGTGTGTAAAAATTATGAACTGCAACAATGATTATATGAGTCATATAAAATGCCATAAAAATTACTTCAGCAATTTTTAGTACAACATATTCATATATTTAGAGGTAGTAACATTTTCAAGTTATTTTGTCGGATTTATAGCACTATGGTTTTATTTTTGCTATAATAATAGCTGTTAATCCTTTTTCACTAAAAATATAAACTGGAATTAGAGATCTATTATTCATGAACTACATCTTCGTAAAAGTTTTTAAAACAGCACTGCCATTTTCCCAGTAAGATAGCTATGGCATATGTTTCTAAATTCACATGTCATCATTCTTCATTGGATTAATTAGCAAAATTACTTTTTTCTCCTTCTTTTACCTTTTCGAATGATATTTTTAAAATATTTTAGCACTTATACAGAGTACAATTTATAGATAATAAAAATGTTCATGTTGTTAGCTGAGGGCTAATGTTCCTCAGCAAAAAACAAAAAAAAAATCATGTTATAAAGTACTTTTGCGTAGCTCCCCTGCTGCTGTGAATACTATTTATGAATATATGTTTAGGTATTTGTAACACCTAGCCATGTTCCTGAAATGTAACCAGACTCAACAGCAGAGCCTGGGGGGTGGGAGTGGGGGTCAGTAACACCAAGACCACCTGCAAATCATCATTCTCATCGTTATCAATAAGCAGTTGTAACAAACTGGGTCATAATGTCCTGAAATTCCACGGTGAAAAGGAGACACTGTTCCTCAGTATGTTTCATGCCTTGACGAGCAAAACAACTCAGGCCTGCTGGAATTAACCCTCCCAGCACAATAGCAAAACAATGATTATATCTCAATACTTTCCAGAAAGCAAAAACTCTCCAAAACACATTTTTGTGGGCCACAAGGCAAAGATTAGCAAATATGGCCAATAAAAATCAGAACAAAGTGCAAATGAAAACTAGGTACTTTTAAAAGAATTATAAAATTGGTGAAAGTGAATGAGAATGCTAATATCCAGGATCAGTAAGGATAGGCCTCTCCATTCGCTGCTCAGGAAAAACATAAATTGGCAGAGCCTTTCTAAGGTACATCTTGGTAATCTGCATCAAAATTCTTTAAAAGGTACATTTCCCCCGCCTAGCCATTACATATGTAGCATTTCATCCTGAAGAAATAATCGAGGACATGGGCAGAGGAAGGTACAAGGATGTTTACTGCAGTACAGTAAAAGCTGGAAACAGCCAAATGTCCAGCAATATGGAAATAGTTTCAGTAAGTTACATCCATGTGCAATTATTCAAAATAATTTTGTAGAGGTCTGTTTGCAGCAGGCCTTGTTAGTTGCATGTCTAATATCCTTTCCCCTTTTCTTCTATGTTAACAGAACCCAGAATTGTTCAGGGCAGCGATGTTCACTGCTCCAGGCACAAAATCATGACAATCTTGTTCCCACTTTCCCAGCTTCCCCTGCACCTAGGGATGGACCTGTGATCCAGTTTGGGACATTTAGGTATAAGGGGAAGTCTACTGGGGACTTCTGAGAAAGTTTTTGCATTCCTGATGAAAAGGACAGATACTGCTGACGCCAGCAATCACCTACCGCAGCCCTTCTGTTAAGTGAATCTGACTCCTACTTATGAAGCAAGGGTCGATGGGTTTTCTGCTGCTGGGAGTCAAAAGCAACCCTAGCTATGGTAGACTCTGTGATGTGCCGCTCCGATACCCCTTGAGGACTCCCAGCTATTGGGAGTGCTACAGGCTGCCGCTATCTCCAGGAATTGTACTCCGTTGAAGTCAGCTGCCTTGCCCAATTTCATGCCCCCTTGGGGGAGGGGGGCAGCCCACATCTAACATCAGGGGAGTCTAAAGGCCCAGGCTTCTTTCTTCAGTTCAAGACGTTCCAGGGCCCTCTAAACAAAGTTGGAGCCCTTGTTGCTCTTGCGCCATTGCCTAGCTTGCCCTCCTGTCTAATCCTACCTACTTCATTCCCTTCCCCATACATGTTGATCCTGAAAGCACTACCTAGCAAACTTCCTGCATGCAGATCTCTGTCTCTGTTTCCTGGGCAACACCACGCACAACACTACTGACACATTTATTCACATGAAAAGATGTTCAAAATATATTGCTAAATGACAGAACAACAGGTTATAAAACTATGCATGATGTCATCCTGTTTTCTTATACAGATTATACAGCTGCAGAGAAAAAATATCTGAAAAACTTTTTAGGAGATAATATAAGAATGTCTCTATGATCTTGTGATGGTGGAAAATTTCTTAAATAAGAGATAAAAAGTGCAAACCATAAAGAAAGGCTTGTACCTTTGAATACACTTAAATTAAAACTTATGTTAATCAAAGGACACTATAAAGAAAGTGAAACCATAAGCCACAAACTAGGAGATAATATTTTTATATTTTCAATATGATAACTGACAAAGGATTGTATCTAGAATATATAAAGGATCAATTAGAAAAAGTCAAATCCAAAGAGGAGAGGGCAAAGAATATGAAAAAGCAATTCAGAAAAGAAAAAACATACATGGCCAATAAAATATTAAGAGACACGCCCTCACCCACTCTCAGGAAAATGCAAAACAGTTTTCACCCATTGGATGGCAAGAGTGTGGGGAATCAGACATTGATACATAATAATAAAAAGCAGCCTTTTTATGGGTAATCTGTCCCAGCTTTTTTGGAGAGTAATTTTTAATAGCAAAAAATTTAAGCAACCTACATTTCTCCTGGGGAATGGATAAACTAAGGCACATTCTATGGGGTAGTAGGCAGCAGTTAAAAAGAAAGAAGCTGATGTGTATGTGCTGACATGGAATGATCTCCAAGACAAAGCATCAAGTAAATAAAGCAAATTACTCAATATGTGAATATTATAATCCCTTTGATGTTTTAAAAAGATCACTATATATTTCAACATATACATATATGCAAATTCAAAGAAAAGGACTGGGAATGATATCTACCAAACTGTTAATAGTGGTTAATTCTGGAAAGGGGCAAAGGTTGGGGCAGGAGAAAGGGGACTTTTGCTTTTTACTATATATTTTTCTGTGTTCTTGTCATTTTTTTCTCAACATTTTATTATGAAAATTTTCAAACATACAGCAAAGTTGAATTTTATAGTCCACCTTGATATACCCCATCTAGATTTTACCATTAGCGTTTTACAGACTTGTTTTTTTATCACAGATCCATTGATCCATCCCTCTATCCATCTTAATCTATCTTATTTTTAATGCACTTTAAAGTAAACTGTAGACATCAGTACATGTCCCACTAAATACTTCAGCAGGCAAATAATTAACTAGAATTGAACATTTGTTTCTTTGATATAAAATTTTAAGAGTACATTCACTGATTTTTGATAAATGACGTGTTATCCAAACCCCTATCAAGATAGTGAACACCTCCATCACTCATGAAAGTTTCTGCATGTTCTTTCCTCATCGTTACCCAACCCCATATGCCAGAAGCAACCACTGTTCTGACTTTTTCCACTATAGATCAGTTTTGCTCATTCTAGAATTTCATATAAATGAACTCATACAGTATGCACCCTTTTGTATAAGGCTTCTTTCACTCAGCATTATGTTTTTGAGATTCTTCGTGTTTTTGCGTGTTATCGGTTCATTCCTTCTGAGGAGTATGCCATTGTACGAATATGCGAGAGCTTGTTTATCCATTTCCTATTGATGAACACCTGGGATCATCGATGGCCCTATCGATATTTCCTCATCTTGGCTATTATGAATAAAGCTGCTATGAATATTCATGTACAAGTTTTCGTGTAGACATATGTTTTCATTTCTTTTGGGTAAATATCTAAGAATGGAATTGCTGGGTTACAGGGTATTAAACATTTAGTTTCATAAGAAACTGCCAGATCTTTTTCCAAAGTTGTTATACAATTTTACATCCTCACCAACAGGATTTGAGAGTTCCAGCCGCTCTACATTCTCACCAACATTCAGGGTTGTCAGTCATTTTAATGTAGCCATTCTAATAGGTCTATAGTAGTATTTCATTGTGGCTTTAATTTGTATTTCTCTAATGACTAATGAACTTGATCACTTCTTCATGTGATAATTGACCATTTGTTTCTTTTCTTTTCTTTTCTTTTGAGGAAGATTAGCCCTGAGCCAACTACTGCCAGTCCTCCTCTTTTTTGCTGAGGAAGACTGGCCCTGAGCTAGCATCCGTGCCCGTCTTCCTCTACTTTATATGTGGGACGCCTACCACAGCATGGTGTGCCAAGCGGTGCCATGTCCGCAACCGGGATCCGAACCAGCGAACCCTGGGCCACTGAGAAGCAGAATGTGAGAACTTAACGACTGTGCCACGGGGCGGGGCCCTGTTTATTTTCTTTGGATAAATATCTGTTCAAATCTTTTGCCCATTTTAAGTTGGCTTGTTTGTCTTTTTATTACTGAGTTATAGAATTCTTTATATTTCTTGCATAACAGTCCTTTGTCAGATATATGTTCTCTGAATAATTTTTCCTAGTCTGTAGATTGCCTTTCAATATTCTTAATGGTGTCTCTCAATGAACAGAGTTTTTAATTTTGATGAAATCTAATTTCTCAATGTTTGCTTTTGTGGTACTGCTTTCTGTGACCTGCTAAGCCAACTTTATCTATCCCAAATCATGAAGATATTCTTTGAAGGTTTCTTTAAAAAATGCCTGATTTTACCACTTACCTTTAGGTGTGTGATCTGTCTCAGATTAATTTTTGTATATGGTACGAGGTAGAGGTTGACATTCATATTTTTCCATATGGATAGCCAGTTATTATGGCATCATTTGTTGCACAAACTTTCCTTTCTCTCCTGGATTGTTTTGGTGCTTTTGTAAAAAATCAAATGACTGTATAAGTGTGAGTCTATTTGCAGCTCTCTATTCTATTGTCAATTTGCGCGCCATACTCTCTTAATTAGCATAGCTTTACAATAAGCCTTCAAGTCAGGTAGTGTAAGTTCTCAAACTTTGTTCTTAATGTTGGAGAGGTTGCGAGAAAAAGGAACCCTCATACACTGCTGGTGGGAATGCAAACTGGTGCAGCCACTATGGAAAACAGTATGGAGATTCCTCAAAAAACTAAAAATAGAACTACCATACGATCCTGCCATCCCACTACTGGGTATTTATCCAAAGAGCCTGAAGTCAGCAATCCCAAAAGTCCTGTGCACCCCAATGTTTATTGCAGCACTGTTTACAATAGCCAAGACGTGGAAGCAACCTAAGTGCCCATCAACAGACGAATGGATAAAGAAGATGTGGTACATATATACAATGGAATACTACTCAGCTGCAAAACAGAACAAAATCATTCCATTTGCAATAACATGGATGGACCTTGAGAGAATTATGTTAAGTGAAATAAGCCAGCGAGAGAAAGATAATCT